CGTGACTATTTTTAGACAATTAATCGTCAGCCAAATTTCATAATCGTGACAGCCCTACGCATGACAATCGCAGCTTCTGTCGAATCGCGATTTCGATTCCATTTCGATTCATCGTGCAGCCCTACTGGCAGAACAAGTACATGAGCATACTGATACTAGTATTGGTATCGATGCATCCCTAATACAAGTGAAAAATTTAAGTTATGCACTAAGAAAAAAATAACCTCTACAAAAAATAAATAAATAACGTACCACACTCATGTCATATTTAATTTAAAAAATCTGTGGTTGTTAGATAAAACATAAGTTTTGGTGAAAATTCAATTTTGCTTTTAGTGAAAACTCAGTTTCTCTTTCTTTGATAGCACATCAAAGTCTCGCTCATCTGAAAGATAATATTCACTCCTACACTCATTGACCACTTGTCAGTTAATTTGTAATAAAAGGAAAAAACAAAAAGGCAAGAGAGGGCCTATATAAAAGCACAAAACAGGACATGACAGAATGACTAAATCTGGCTTAGGCTAAAAATTGTTAATGCAGGAAATACCCTGATATCAGAGATATACTATAGATACTAGAAATATTCCATGCCCATGACATCATGTTTAGACATATATACAGACTGGTCCTAATTTAATTTTCCAATCCAATAGGACAACAGTGTTTTTTTAAGCCACAAGTACCCAACAAAGTTAAAAAGGCTTTTTTTACACGAATGGCTGATTGACAGGTGAGTAGGGGGTTATCCTGTTGTCTGGGACGCATCAAGAAGCATTGCGGTTTACAACACAAATGGGATTCGTTGTGGCCACTTTATACCATTTTTCAAATATTCAATAAAAAAATTGACCCTTTTAGATCTATAAACACTGCTGACCATTTGTGACAGTATCACCAGACACAAATGTGAAAATTGAATTTTATTTAACTATATTCTCTCTGCCAGCTTGTTTTCAAGATGACTGACCCACCCTTGCCAAATACCTTAAAAAAAACGGTTCAATCAGGAGCTAAAATGGCTGCACATGGTGCACAGAAACAAGAGACAAAAGAATCTTGAATAGCAGAGTGTGTATGGATACCACATTATATTCAGCTGCCTTTCAATAAAAAATAAATAAATAAATAAAAAAACATTGTTTATGCTACTACAAGCTGTTTTACGATTGTGTTTTTAGTTGTTCCAAAGCTCTGGTTCGGGAGGAGGGGGGGTTGAGGTTGAGAGAGCGAGAGAGAGAGAGAGAGAGAGAGAGAGAGAGAGAGCAAGAGCGCAAGAGACGGGGAGAGAGAGAGAGAGAGAGCGGGAGAGAGAGAGAGAGAGAGAGAGAGAGCTCTTTGCTGAATTAAACCACTTCTGCACTCGCGAGTGAGAGAGAGAGAGAGAGAGAGAGAGAGAGAGAGAGAAAGAGAGACCAACAACACTCAAACGCATCTGATTGGCTGAGGGTTTCTGAAACCACCCAGTCAGGAAGCAGAAGAGGAGCAGGCATCTCAGCAACTAAGGCCCCAGAAAACCACCAACGCTATTTTCTCTATGTATTTTCTACACCTAGATAAAAATAATAATATTAATAAATCAATACACAGAAAGAAAGATTTTATAATATCCCTTTAAAATGATTGGATCACAATGAGCACCAATGAGTGCATGCATAGAAACCACCTCTAAAATGAGGGAAGACAGAGCTCATGTATCACACAACTATCTAATTAACTTTTTTTTTAAAGTATTCAATAAAAATATTTTAAGTCACAACTTTTAAAAACATTACTTTGGCAAAAAAGGATTTACACACTAGTAATGTAAGTGATCACACAGATTTGAGAACAAAACTACATATACATACACATATATATATATATATATATATATATATATATACACATACATACACACAATTTCAAATCAAAGCAATGAGGACATAATCAAAGCAATGAGCACACAAATGCTGTGCATTTTTGCCATTATGTCTTGATTTGTGGTCAAGTTTCTCTGCATTCACATATTCGACTAAACCTCAACCGCTTTCTACGTTTTGATACTAAAATGCTTCAGGGCATTTAATAAATGTTCATATATACGAAACTTCAAAAAAGTTTCAACTTTTCAAGCTTGTCCTTTGTCTCTGGACAAAGACACACGTTGACTTTAGATAAGGAGTGGGGTGAGTCACAGAAAGATCAGGTTTCACATAGTTCAAGGCGGACGAAAATAAAACCTGAAAACATAGTGAGAAAATGTCGGACAGGCCCAATCATGTGCTTACAGTTGCCAGCAAGCTCTTCAAGAACTACAAAAATGCGTGAATTCTATCAGGCACTGTTATGGACAGTCTGTGTTTCGGGTCCTGATGATATCAAATTTATCGGCGAACAGACCGACAGGACAGTGTGCAGCCAGAGGACCTCTAAAATAATGTAATGTGTGTATATGTAAAAGTAACCCTGAGTATGATGTACGCCTTGCCACAACAGCACAATTCCTCACTGTTCATTTTACACGCTGGAAATAACATAACAAATGTTACATATTTACAGCGTATCGAAAACTGTCCCTTAAAAACGACTAATATATATATATATATAAATATATATAGTTTTCGATATGTGCTATCCGCAGTAACGTGAGCGAATCTTCGGTTGCCTTCTCTTCCTTGTCGTTTCCACTCACTTGTTGTTGAAATAAAAATGGAGGCTAAAAAAGGAAAGGCGATTTCCCCTTAGAAATACCACCCATTTCTCATGGATGGAGTTGGGGGTTGGTTGATGGGGGAGGCGGAGGTGAGGAATGAGAAAAGCAAGTCACGGTTCTCGGGGTTCGCATTATTTTCGCTTCCAAAAGAAAACACACAGACCAGATCAAGAAATTATAAACACATCATAAAGTTGTCTCATAGTCAACAAGATTTAAGCAGTCTAAATAAAATAAAAAATAGAGATATGCATATCAAACAGAGCACTGCTCAACAGGATATCTGCTTATCCCGACAAAACTATCTTATTTTAGAACAGACAAAAAATATACCCACTTTGTAAGTCTAACAGGGTGCCTCCATATAGTTAAGCGAAGGCAAAAAATTAAGTTAAGCACCTTAATACATCATTCCCCATGTTCTCTGAAAAAAAATTGTTGATAAAATTCGATTCTGACAAGCACGGATGTTGTAAATAAAAACTCTGCCATGTCTGTTTTCACATAGAAACTTGATTAACACAAGAACAAGTCAACTAACACTAAACACAGTTTCTGCCCACAGCCCTTATCAATCGTTTCTTCTATTATTTTCAAATTAAGATCCATGGCAAAGAACGATTAAGCATTTTAATGCATTACTTTAAAAAGTACTAGCTTTTAAGACAGCCTCTCTCGGCTAAGCTAACGGCTAACTAAAATGATACCTTTGCTCACTTTGATAGATAATTAATTATGCTGAGTGGCACGGATGCTATGAACGTGATATATGTGCAAAAGATAAGACAGACAGCATAATAGCAGGTCGGTCACTGAATGTTTACAGCAAAAAAAAAGCAGTTCTTAGCACGAGGTTCTTGGCAAAGTGTGATTGTGATTATGGCTACATCAAGCTAACATACAGATCAACCAACACGGTATTACATCATTAAAATAATTTGATTTGATTCATTAACGTGACAGCAGAAACAATCAACCAAGAACAGTTGAAACAGAAAAGCTACAATGCGTGTTGATAAACAAGAGCTGACAAACTGAGCTCCCAACTTCTGCATCAACTTTAACGTTACCTAGTTCATAAAAAAGCATAAGCTATTGCCATCAAAACATTCAAGGAAATAACAAAATACCTTACCTACAGCGTCCTTCCAGCGTAATTGAAACTCAAATGCCTATTAAAGGTGTTTGGTGTTTTTAAAAAATCCCAACATCAATGCGAGGCAGAACGGCAGGCCTTCTCTTGCAACCTCGGTGTTTCCTGTGAACTGTAAACCGCTAGGCTCTCGGGCTATCTTCCAAACTTCTCAGTGTCCCTTACGCAAGAGTTGAAAGTTTCACATTTTCTCCCATTTAAGACATTGTGCGGTCTTCATATGTTCACGTTGAGTTGTCTAAGAATAAATCAATATACAATGTTATTTTACAAAAGTATAGTCGGTATTTATATGGGTATATGTACACCACTTGGTGATTCAAGACTGTGATTCAATCTCATGTCCTTTACATTCGCAGTATTGCCCATCCCCCTCTCTACACCGGCATCGACCGCGGCTCCCAGCGAATCCTACACACAACCATAATACAGGGTTTCCTCCACAGCGGAGCAGGGGTTCTTCTTCTGTGAGTTTATTGGCGGGTTGCAAACCGGAGCATGGGTTCATTAGGAGGGCGGACTTCTAGCTCTAACTCGCGCCCGCTGGTATGCTATAGGGTAGAAATGCGTCAATCGCTGTAACAAACAGTAACGCGCATACGCCGTTGGATCATCGCGGAGCTTGCTGTTGTCGTAGACAGAAAAGAGGCAGAGCCTTGTTTTTCGGAGGTGGTTCACTTCTCCAGTCAGCATTTTCATTTGCAGCGTGAGATGGCGTTGAGAGGGCTGCAGTAGTGTACATTTCGAAGACTAGCTGCTAGTTAAAATGGATACTCTCAAAAGAAGGGACCGAGGATTTGGGGAAATATGTTGTGTTACTAAATACACATGCCGTGGAGTTCAATGGTCTTTCATATAAGGAATTATTTTTTTCTTTTATCCGTGTAAAAGGGAATAACAGTGTTCTGTTATACAGCTGTAGCTGCACGGGGTCTCCTGGGCGCTATCGCAGGGAGCGCGATACTAGAGCGTCAACAACAATACTGTGAGGAATATATGAGGGATCCAGGATTGGACTGAACGTTTGATTTGATGCAGGATTTCATTCTATACAAAATATTAACCAAGTTGGTGAACTGTGGTTCTTGATTTTAAAAAGAGGAAGACAAGGGAGACCAAACATGGGCCAAAATAATAAGCCACGCTTAGAAGACCATTAAATCACTCTTACCGTAAATTATTTAAATGCGATTTTCGTTGCCTTTTTTTTTTTTTGAAGTCAGACAATAAAACGTTTATTTTAAGAATAATTGCCTAAGGATTATTGAAAAATGTACACTTGACGCGGTAATGCCAATATAGTATATTCTAGAACTAACAAAGGAAAGCTTAAGCCGTTTCTGTGTCGTTATTGAACAGAGAAAGCGTGTGATACTTGCACGCCCTCGGCGGTGTTGAACAGCGACTCTACAAAAGCGTACTTACATTACTCAGTGTTAATAGCAAAACCCCCACGGCTGACCAGATAACATAATTTAACCGTAGTTTTAGCTCATTTTAAGGCCGTCGTGTTTCAATATTAATAAAATGCCGTCGTATTCACCGACTTGTGTGTTCTGGTGACCAGAATTTGCAAAATGACACGTGAAAGTACATTTACCTTTATAGCGTTGGAGTAGATTTGATATACACACAGGCCTATATATATATATATATATATATATATATATATATGAATTGAAAATATAATTTAACTGCATGCGCCCCCGGCTGAATTATGCGGCTGCGCGCGCAACTGAAGAGGACGGACATCTGTACGTGTGCTATTCAGGATGTAAAATACATTTATATTAATATATTTGATAATATTGTAAGTGTTATATAAGTGTATTCGTCTATATACATATGAATACATATTCATTATGTACGTGTTTCGCTATTATAACATCAGAATTAGATAATTTGTTTTTTTTATTAGTACTGTGTGTTTGAAATACTTTTTATTTGATAGGTAATTTTCTAAATTCCTAGTTCTATCTAAAAGTGCAAATCAGTACAATAACAGAAGACAACTTGACAGGGCATCAACTGACATTACATGTCTCTGTCTTTTCATTTTTACTTAAATTTTTTTTATAACCATTTCTTATGTGTAAGTAAGTTGTTGTTATTTTAGCATGTGTGTTTGGCTCAGTGTTATTTTTTTAGGATTACTGATAAACTAATGTAGTTTGATTTGTATTATCTATTTTAGTTTTAGTTACAGTTGTAGTAATGTCATTTTATTAGTTTTTTTATTATGTCTATATAGGTTTTTTATTGAGTTTTATTTTTATTTAATTGGAGTTATTTCAGTACTTCAACATACAAAATGGAAATGAAATAATATATATATTCTGCTAAATGACTAAAAGTAAAAGTAGCTCAAATGTATTAGTAGTTTAACAGCCATGTCTGTCTGGGACAGAGAGCCTCTGTGTCCAAACGCTCTTTTTGGCGAAGCTTATATTGTAATAAAGTAATTAATCGTTATTATATATCTTTGACGCTATTAAAATCAAATGAGCGAATATACTGAAGTTATTACATGTCAAGCTTGTCTATGTACAAGAGTTTCAATACCCCCAAAACACCTTTTTTTTAGATGTTGCATATTATTAAAAACAGTTCAATCACATTAGTCTGAATAGGCAGAAAGTGTTTGTTGTGTTTTATTATATTTTGAGCCATTTAAAACGTTTAAGCAATGCACAAACGTTTACAAAGTAGTGTAAAATTTGAATTGCCAGTAGTATAAGGCTATAAGTATATGCTACAAGTTTGTTTAGTTGCCACTAGTTCTTTCTATTACTGTTGCTACATTGTCATTTTTTGTCCAAATAATAAATGAAGTGAATTCAATTTGAGCCTGCATTCATCATCCACACTCATAGACAAAATTCTAGCAAAAAAATAGGTTACACTACAACATATCCACCTGTAGAAAAGTCAAAGTAAAAATCACCATCTAACAAACATTAATCTACAATGTCACGATTACTAACTGAAAATGTCACAAAGTTACATTGTGGCAATTTCACTTTTATATGGATGTTACAACATAACTGCAACATTTTGGTTATCAGATTATGTTGCATTTACATAACAGTTACATATGGCTAGCTGAGTGAACTTTTTGAGGGATAGTGATGATAGTTTCCGGAGTTTATGAATGTCTGTGTGTGCAAATAGCAGAGGTGTGACCAAGTCGTTGTTTTGCAAGTCACAAGTAAGTCTCGAGTCAAGTCCCGAGTCAAGACAGACAAATCCCAAGTCAAGTCCCGAGTCAAGACAGGCAAGTCCAAGTCGAGTTGCAAGTCCTCAACTTTTAGCTTCAAGTCTTAAACAAGTCATTAGTGCTCTTTGCCCAAATTAGTGTCTCAGTATTAATTACCATATCAAATTCATAGTAATTTATATCAGGAAGGCAGGTAGAATATGTTTGACATAGTTCAATTTCATGTGAGATGGGTGCCCTTAGTAAAACTACTCAAGTTCAGTTTAGGGATTGTGCCAAAATAGGACAAGCAGTGAAAAAAAAAACTATTTTATTAGTAACAGAATAGCAAAGACAACATAATTTCATAGAAATAACAGCGGCAACAAACTTTGCATGTGTGCACAAGAATATATGCTTCTAGGTGTTATATCGAAGCCAATGAGACATTATTTGGAACCTCAATGAAACAGATTTAAAAATATGTGAGCGGAAACGCAGAAAGAACAGCTTTGAAAGAACTCGAAGAAATAACTGCAAACATACTTTGCAAGTGAGAGGAAACATGCAATATGGATGCAGACAAACTTTTTTTTTTCTTATCTCGGTTCTTTTGTCGTAAGTTATGCTATTACTCCATTAATTTATACTAGCATATACTGTATATCCAGCGCTCCCTGAACGCAGTCTCTGGCTTTTTGCCAGTCAAGCGCAAGCACGCAGGGACGCGTCTAGAGTAATAACGACTCTGATCTGATCATAAAGTCTTTCCGAGTCACAGGGCTCAAGTCCAAGTCAAGTCTCGAGTCATTGCTGTCAAAGTCTAAGTCGAGTCTCAAGTCTTCTTTAATTATGTCGAGTCGCAAGTCATCAAATTTGGGACTCGAGTCCGAGTCAAGTCTCGAGTCATGTGACTCGAGTCCACACCCCTGGCAAATAGACTTATTTGATATGCCAAACGCCTGGCCTTGACTGTAGACGAGAGTAGTCAGCTGCAGTCAGTGGAGGAACAATGAAAAAAAGCTGAACAATTAAAAAATAAAAACTCTCATTTATCATAATAGACTAACATTTTATATAATCAAAGGAAATTGTAGTAGCATTCTTTTTTTAAATGGATGCATTTAAAATAAACCAATCTCAATGTTTGCAGTCATCTCAGTTTTATGCACATTAAATGGTGGCAGAAAGCCAGTTTAATGTTGCTGTTCTAAACAAGAGACATGATTTTGTAATATGTAAAATATTACATATTTTGTAATATGTAATATATAATTTCCCGTGTCCGAATATGCCTACCTCTCTGCAGTACGTGAAACAATATGTCAAAATTCACAGTAACGGTAGGTGAACAGTACCCGGATAACTTACTACTACCGCAGAGATTCTGAAGAGGGTATAAAATGAACACCTTACTATTCCATGAGGTAACAAGACAGGAATTGTAAATGACAAGGAAGTGACACAAATTACTTTGTCCAGAAGTGAAGCTACACACAGGCTGATTTTATCATCACAAAGGGATTGGGTACATTTAATTGTAAACAATAAAAAATATTCCCACAATAAAAAAAGAAACATGTCATACATTATACTTTGACAATGGCTATTTGATTTCACAATCATCAAAACATTGGGTTCTACAGGCACATCAAGTATAACACTTACATGTGAGTACACGTTTTTTTTACATTGCTATTTAACTGACACATCTCTTTGAGGAAGTTTTTTTTATTTTTATTTTTTTTTTAGCTCTATAGAAATTCAGGGACCGGTTGATAATATCTATTAGTTGTCTTCTAACATAACTTAAGAGCTTTAAAATGCAATTATTTAAACATCTGTTGTGTTAAACTACTGTATGTAGGTGTTTTTCCACAGATTTCACTCAGTAATTTTTCCTTCATTAAAAAGTTATACAAAATAAATTAATTGTAATATTACAAAAAAAACAAAAAATTTAAATAACACCTATATGAGATGAAGAGTAATTTCAGTGGCTTAATAAAAGTCACCTCAAGTGGGTTGCATTAGCAGTCAATTTATACGAATTTTATCTCATTAATTCACCTCCTACCCCATTTTGATTTTGAGAAATAAATAAATCATGGCTTACTGTGCATTTCTACAATAGTATTGATAGGAATGTGTGATACAAGCAAAAATGTAACAATATTATAGACAATCATACATCACAATATATAGTTTTTATGAAAACTACTTCTTGAAAAATAAGAATATTTGTGAATCCAATTTCCAAGTAATGGTCGATCTATAAAATTTTGAATTTTATCATTAATACTGCAATGAAACTTTAAATATAGTGTTTTATTGATTACATCATCTTTGTATTGTGTTTGTACTGCAAGCAATGAAATAAACAATACAAGTATGATGTTAAGTATGATGACATCTTCTCCAATTTACATGTCAGATAGCCTTCCATGACAATACTGAAAACCTTTTAGCAACTACATAAAATTACCCATTATAATTTAGTTTAATTTAATCCAAGTTCTCAATTTCTGAAGTAATTTACTCAGTGTGACCAGTTTTCATAAGGATTAAGTGAAAGCAGTAATGTATGTTGTTTGTAAACCTGAATATTCTGCGTTGTTTGTTTTGTGTGCCACTCACAATGACAGCTTAAAAGAAAGACCCTTTCTCTTGCGGTTATTTAGTGATACACTGCCTTTTCACATCGCATTCAATTCAAATTGCAAACTCACATTCACAACTGGAGTTAAATATGGGTTCTTTTGTTGTGGTGCTGGAGTTTCAGAACTGCAGGAAACATTGGCATAACCACAATAGAAATGGTACGCAAATAGTTATACTGGTTGACAAAATTATAACGGTATATAACCCATCCCTAGGTATCAGTAACAGAAACTGTTTGCTTTTGCGTAAAGATGCATCCACATTGTTAGGTGTCAGTGTAAGTCATCACAACATAAACAAAAAATTACTGAGTGCATTATCTTGAGGAAAACCATGCTACTGTGGAGAAACGCTGACCCCTGTTCTTTCTGTGGTACATAACAAACCTACACTTGAAGAGTTTTCCTCAGCATTACAGTAGTTTCCTCAAAGCAGTTTCAGACTGCCTGTGACATTATTCACCATCTCCTCTTCTCCTATGATGGCAAGCACAGTGCATGAACCTGGCTCCACCTGCACACACAAACAGTCCAAAATCATTTTCCAGGCTTTATCACTATTTACACAATTTAATCACACAAAATGAATCACACATCTTTAAAAAGTCTTACTCTCCTTAGATTTTCATGTCAAATATGTATTAGAAATTAGCATCTACAACCATAAACCATTACCTTATATAATGTCTAATTTTTTATATGCTTTTTTAGGTATATTGTATAGGTATATAAAACATAGAATAGTACACCATTTGCCATATTATAACAATAACAGCAATGCCATGCTAAAGCAACATTGCATAGATGTGCCTCTAACCTGTGTGTGTCCAGCATCCTGTACCAGCTTTGTAGGAAGACTGAGGCTCATTGCAAGAGCCTGCAACTCCAAAAGGTGCGCCATGTTAGTGCCTTGTAACACAATCTTCTTACCTCTAAACAGGCACACAAAAAAAATCATTCTAATACACGTGTCTTAGGTTAACATACTTTAAATATTTTGATTCAGAGGTGATTCTTTTTTATATATACATGAATGGCTTGGTTTGACATCTATTTAAAAAACAAAAAAACAATAGAAGGATGAGGCCACAGTGATATCCCTTACCCAGCATGGTCCCATCTCCAGGCCATTTCCCTCCAACTGTTTTTCTCCTGCAAGGCCTGATACAAACCCACTGCAGCATGACCCACCTGCGCCGCCACCTACAGGGACACACTGCTCATTTCAAATCTATTGAAATTAGGGCTGCAACAACTAATCGATAAAATCGATTATTATCGATTATGAAAATCATCGACAACGATTCTCATTATCGATTAGTCGGGTCTGCCCACAGTGCACGTCCAACTTCAGCCGGTCGTGTCAAATTACAGCACTGAATTACGCATTTCTATGGACAAAATGCCTCTAAAAATAGTGGAGGAAACAGAATGAGATGCTGCGGGAGAGTTACGTGATCCAAGCTGCCCAAAACATGAGAATTCTTTATTTTAAGCTTTAAGCTAATGCATTAGCGTGATGGCTTGCCCTGTCAGGCACTTTAACAGATGCGTGTGCGTCCTCAGCGCAAAAACAGGCTCAAGTCCAAGTCAAGTCTCGAGTCATTGCTGTCAAAGTCTAAGTCGAGTCTCAAGTCTTCTTTAATTATGTCGAGTCGCAAGTCATCAAATTTGGGACTCGAGTCCGAGTCAAGTCTCGAGTCATGTGACTCGAGTCCACACCCCTGGCAAATAGACTCATTTGATATGCCAAACGCCTGGCCTTGACTGTAGACGAGAGTAGTCAGCTGCAGTCAGTGGAGGAACAATGAAAAAAAGCTGAACAATTAAAAAATAAAAACTCTCATTTATCATAATAGACTAACATTTTATATAATCAAAGGAAATTGTAGTAGCATTCTTTTTTTAAATGGATGCATTTAAAATAAACCAATCTCAATGTTTGCAGTCATCTCAGTTTTATGCACATTAAATGGTGGCAGAAAGCCAGTTTAATGTTGCTGTTCTAAACAAGAGACATGATTTTGTAATATGTAAAATATTACATATTTTGTAATATGTAATATATAATTTCCCGTGTCCGAATATGCCTACCTCTCTGCAGTACGTGAAACAATATGTCAAAATTCACAGTAACGGTAGGTGAACAGTACCCGGATAACTTACTACTACCGCAGAGATTCTGAAGAGGGTATAAAATGAACACCTTACTATTCCATGAGGTAACAAGACAGGAATTGTAAATGACAAGGAAGTGACACAAATTACTTTGTCCAGAAGTGAAGCTACACACAGGCTGATTTTATCATCACAAAGGGATTGGGTACATTTAATTGTAAACAATAAAAAATATTCCCACAATAAAAAAAGAAACATGTCATACATTATACTTTGACAATGGCTATTTGATTTCACAATCATCAAAACATTGGGTTCTACAGGCACATCAAGTATAACACTTACATGTGAGTACACGTTTTTTTTACATTGCTATTTAACTGACACATCTCTTTGAGGAAGTTTTTTTTATTTTTATTTTTTTTTTAGCTCTATAGAAATTCAGGGACCGGTTGATAATATCTATTAGTTGTCTTCTAACATAACTTAAGAGCTTTAAAATGCAATTATTTAAACATCTGTTGTGTTAAACTACTGTATGTAGGTGTTTTTCCACAGATTTCACTCAGTAATTTTTCCTTCATTAAAAAGTTATACAAAATAAATTAATTGTAATATTACAAAAAAAACAAAATTTTTTAAATAACACCTATATGAGATGAAGAGTAATTTCAGTGGCTTAATAAAAGTCACCTCAAGTGGGTTGCATTAGCAGTCAATTTATACGAATTTTATCTCATTAATTCACCTCCTACCCCATTTTGATTTTGAGAAATAAATAAATCATGGCTTACTGTGCATTTCTACAATAGTATTGATAGGAATGTGTGATACAAGCAAAAATGTAACAATATTATAGACAATCATACATCACAATATATAGTTTTTATGAAAACTACTTCTTGAAAAATAAGAATATTTGTGAATCCAATTTCCAAGTAATGGTCGATCTATAAAATTTTGAATTTTATCATTAATACTGCAATGAAACTTTAAATATAGTGTTTTATTGATTACATCATCTTTGTATTGTGTTTGTACTGCAAGCAATGAAATAAACAATACAAGTATGATGTTAAGTATGATGACATCTTCTCCAATTTACATGTCAGATAGCCTTCCATGACAATACTGAAAACCTTTTAGCAACTACATAAAATTACCCATTATAATTTAGTTTAATTTAATCCAAGTTCTCAATTTCTGAAGTAATTTACTCAGTGTGACCAGTTTTCATAAGGATTAAGTGAAAGCAGTAATGTATGTTGTTTGTAAACCTGAATATTCTGCGTTGTTTGTTTTGTGTGCCACTCACAATGACAGCTTAAAAGAAAGACCCTTTCTCTTGCGGTTATTTAGTGATACACTGCCTTTTCACATCGCATTCAATTCAAATTGCAAACTCACATTCACAACTGGAGTTAAATATGGGTTCTTTTGTTGTGGTGCTGGAGTTTCAGAACTGCAGGAAACATTGGCATAACCACAATAGAAATGGTACGCAAATAGTTATACTGGTTGACAAAATTATAACGGTATATAACCCATCCCTAGGTATCAGTAACAGAAACTGTTTGCTTTTGCGTAAAGATGCATCCACATTGTTAGGTGTCAGTGTAAGTCATCACAACATAAACAAAAAATTACTGAGTGCATTATCTTGAGGAAAACCATGCTACTGTGGAGAAACGCTGACCCCTGTTCTTTCTGTGGTACATAACAAACCTACACTTGAAGAGTTTTCCTCAGCATTACAGTAGTTTCCTCAAAGCAGTTTCAGACTGCCTGTGACATTATTCACCATCTCCTCTTCTCCTATGATGGCAAGCACAGTGCATGAACCTGGCTCCACCTGCACACACAAACAGTCCAAAATCATTTTCCAGGCTTTATCACTATTTACACAATTTAATCACACAAAATGAATCACACATCTTTAAAAAGTCTTACTCTCCTTAGATTTTCATGTCAAATATGTATTAGAAATTAGCATCTACAACCATAAACCATTACCTTATATAATGTCTAATTTTTTATATGCTTTTTTAGGTATATTGTATAGGTATATAAAACATAGAATAGTACACCATTTGCCATATTATAACAATAACAGCAATGCCATGCTAAAGCAACATTGCATAGATGTGCCTCTAACCTGTGTGTGTCCAGCATCCTGTACCAGCTTTGTAGGAAGACTGAGGCTCATTGCAAGAGCCTGCAACTCCAAAAGGTGCGCCATGTTAGTGCCTTGTAACACAATCTTCTTACCTCTAAACAGGCACACAAAAAAAATCATTCTAATACACGTGTCTTAGGTTAACATACTTTAAATATTTTGATTCAGAGGTGATTCTTTTTTATATATACATGAATGGCTTGGTTTGACATCTATTTAAAAAACAAAAAAACAATAGAAGGATGAGGCCACAGTGATATCCCTTACCCAGCATGGTCCCATCTCCAGGCCATTTCCCTCCAACTGTTTTTCTCCTGCAAGGCCTGATACAAACCCACTGCAGCATGACCCACCTGCGCCGCCACCTACAGGGACACACTGCTCATTTCAAATCTATTGAAATTAGGGCTGCAACAACTAATCGATAAAATCGATTATTATCGATTATGAAAATCATCGACAACTCAGATACCCAATTACAGTCAAAAAGGTACATAAACAATGCCAGCAAGAATGCAAGCTGTTATGAAGGGCATAGGAGGCCACCCTAATTGAAATCCAGGGACCATACACAAGACATTGTTCTCTAACAAATAATATTAGTTGAAATGCTAGAGTATGGAAGCCCATTTCCACCACAGTTGAGTAAACAATGTGATTACGCAAGTCATAATAATGAGAAACTTTCTACTAATAATTACTTAGTTTCTGATTATTTTTACGTTATTTTTCACCCGTAATTTTGGCTTATTGTGTGCATTCACAATGCAGCAGATTAGGAAGTAGAGATAGGAGAAACTTCAAATCAACTGAACAATTGCTTCAGAAAATGATTCAGTCCTGAAAAATCCTCACACTGGCGACATCTGCTGGTCAGAGCCATGTAAATGCAACAAGAACACAGTAAGGCATTTTCTATCGATGCCTTTATTCACAACCTTTTAGCTTTTATATGGTCGAAACATGAACGCACACATTGCATGGAATGTAATGCCATTACACCTAAACCTAATAAATGCATGTTACTTAATTGGTCATTTTGTTAGATTTATTTATTTTATTAGCATATGAAGGCACCATTGTTTATCACCATGGCAACCTCTTGGGCTAGAGAACACTAGGGGGGGAACAAACATAGTCTTTTGTTCATCATTCTGTATCATTCACTTCTATATTAAGTACACTGTAAATCTGAAAATTGCAATAAACAATATCTACCTTCCCCACACCCATGGACAGCTCCATATTTACAACAAACACCATTTTGTACATCAGGTCCTCATCACCCTCATCCTGCAAAGAAAAACATTTTACACTGATCGACTGATCATGGCTGCCTCAATTACACAGCGTTCTATTTAGATCTATCTCTGTTGTGTCCAAAGTTTCTTAATACAACATCATTTTGCAATGTTGAGCACCGTAACCATTGAGTGCAGGAATACAATGGCCATTCAGACAATGACAATGGCCATTTAAAATCAGTCACTGCACTGATAAACTTTGCTCAAAATGTTGTTCAGCATGAGCTGAGAGTTGTACACTCTTTCTTTCAAATGCTATCATTAAAGGGGACATTGGATGCCCATTGTCCACAAGTTGTTATGATTCTTTAGAGTCTTCATGAAATGTCTGCAACATACTTTGGTTAAAATTCCTCAGTGGTCATGTAAAACTAGGGTGACGCATTGCTGCCACACCTATTTTTTTCTACTCAATTATGTTGTAATAACAATATTATATAGTTTTAACAACATAATTTCTCATAATATTGAGATGTTGTCGTTAAAACTAATTATTTTCTCATAATAACGTTGTTTAAACATTTTTCTCGTCAATTAAATTTCTTCTCGTAATAATGACATTATGTCATAAAAACTATATATTGTTCACGTTATAGAAGATATTAGCCTTTATATCGTTACATGTGA